AAATATAATATTTTGAATATATACAACTATTATCAACTTGTTAGCATGTTCTTGTATTAATGTAGATCTTGAGTTATACTTAGGATTCTATATATATGTTGTGTGCGATATAGTTCCGAAGTTATATTCGGGAGTTCTATATGTTAAAAAGTACGTGGCTATTATTGGTCTCATGTCAAGATAAAACTTGGTATGCTATATGTTGTTATTGTTGGTTTTATGACAAGATAAAACTTGGTATGTTATATATTGTGATTGTTGGTTTTATGTTAAGATAAAACCTGATTTTTCCTCAAGTTATAGCTGTTGTACTGCCTAAAGTAATATGAACTTAGGAGTAATGTTTAAAGGTATTGTCTAATAACTTAGGGTTTTAGACATGAAAATCCTTTTGTTGTTAGAGCTATAGGAAGTCGTCGGAGTCTACATGAGTAATTGTATTCATCAACTAAGGTTGGAGATCTTAGCGGAAATCCTCTGAACTATAACCGTTAATCCCGTGTGAACAAGGAAGTCGTGTATAAATTAGTATACGGGTTGACAACCCCACTTGTGATTGTTAGCTACAGTCAACCATAAGCGAGTGACGAACTATCCTTTTACTTGTTATTGTTATGGCGTCGATGAAGCGTGCGGTGTTGTTTCTCATGGAAATCATGAGTGTGTTGTTTCTCATGGAAATCATGAGTGTGTTTTATCAGAGGTATTATGTCGTAGCAGCGGTTACAGGCTCATGGTAGCACATTGTTAGAACCATTATACTAGCTTTGTCGTATACAAGTATTAATGTTAAGTATAAGTTTCCCCCTACTTATACCCTAGGTTCAAAGAACGTTTAGGTATAACACTTATTTGATAAGTAGACTATTATACCTAATATATATACTAAATGTCGGAGCGTCTAAATGATACTTTCAAAAACTAAACTTTTGAACTTAGAAAAAGTATTATTTTCATATGGAGTCAAAACCTGTGAACTCACCAACTTTATGTTGACGTATTTTAAAATGCATGTGTTTTCAGGAACTTGAAAAGCTGGTATGTATTCAAACAGGAGAAGTTTTACTATTATCTTCCTGTTCTTTAAGAAGTATGCCATAGTCGAATATTATGTAATAAATACTAGGAAAACAATAATGTAACTTTCAATCATCAATAAAGGTATGTATTTTCTTTAGTACTGTTCAGTGTATGTTATATAACTGTGATACGAAGAATGACGTTACACCACCCGGTGTTTCCGCCGACGGCTGGGGGTGTGACACATATAACAAACATAAAATGGATTTTCATTCCACCCTGTGTATCTTTTTAGGTTACAGTCCCTCACATCAGCGTTATTGATGCTTTGACCTATCTTCTGAACGCATCTATGTTGCCCGTTATGTACGGTTTAATGAAACATCATATCCCTTTTCTAAATCCGCAACTTATGAACTTCATCATAGTGACCAACAACAACAACCTGTTTCTGATCCATATGTATCGTCATATCCTAATCCTATACCACTACCAGATCAGTCTCCACCTAATTTAACAATTCTAGTGTCTTCAACCAATATTCCACCTCCATTAATCCATACCTATAAGCGACAGTGCCAACGCCAAACAAACCTCATCCACCACTACACAAACTCAATTTGAACCCGCCATCCCCATCTCATCTCAGCCGACTGTCTCTACTCCCGCACTGACTACCAACTCTAATCTCCTATTTTAAAACCGGTCCCCTCTCCAATGGATACAAATGCCAATCTCGCCATCGGTGATAGTAAAGATTTTGATAACCATATTCAATATAGACAACTTGTTGGTGCCCTCCAGTATTTTGCCCTTCTCGGCCAGACATCACGTTTGCAGTTAACAAAGTTGGTCAATTTATGCATTCACCCACAAAGAATCATTAGTCGGCTGTCAAGTGTATCATATGGTATCTTCAAGGAACTGTGTCTTATGGGTTGATGTTACAATGTCACTCTGATTTAAAGCTTCATTCCTATACCGATACAACTGACCCCTCCATTACAACCTACTCTGACGCAGATTGGGCTAGTTTTCCAGATGATCGTCGATCTACCGGGGGCTATGCGATATATCTTGGTTCTAATCTTTTTTCCTCATCTGCTCGCAAACAACGCACTGTCTCTCAGTCATCAACATAGTCCGAGTACAAGGCCCTAGCAGATACGGTGGCCGAACTTACTTGGCTTCAAGTTCTTTTGGGAGAACTGCGTGTTTCTCTCAAGACTATTCCTACATTGTGGTGTGATAACCTAGGTGCTACCTATCTTTCAGCCAATCCTGTATTTCATGCACACACCAAACATGTTGAGGTGGATTTCCACTTTGTTCATGAAAAGGTAGCATAAGGAAATCTCTCGGTTCAATACATCAACACAAACGATCAGATTGCTGACGTCTTCACAAAGCCTTTGTCTTCACAACGTTTTCTCCTATTATGATCCAAGTTGCGGTATACTTCCTAACCTTAGCTTGCGGTGGATATTAGATAATAATAATAATACTTTGTATTATAGGGTCTAAAGTGTAAATATATTAATTATATATATCTCTCTTGTATATGTGATTTAAATTCAATACAATACATATTACCACGTTGACTAATATTTATTACCTATAATAGCAACATACCTAAAACTTATTGTACACATTACAGGTGTATAATCGTGTATAACATTGGGACCAATGGAAATGCATAATGATATTTATTTTGATGGGATTTGGATGGAATAACAACCATTTCTTTTAGATTTTATATTCTTAATGCTTTCCTGTATTTGGCTTAGCATAGATGATGGATGATAGGGGCATATTGGTCGCTTCATGCAACTCTTAGACTGAAGTTTGGAACAATGATCCTTCTTGGTTCTACCAATTTTCGATCCTACCTTCTCCATCAACCACACACTGGACTCTAAAATGGTACTACACATAGTCTTTCATAAGCTGTTCTATTGCTACAAATTTTCAATGATATATTATTATGGATTTGCGGGTTATAGTTTTCACTACCATATTGTGTCACCACTACCATATTTCTGCTTTCGATCACTTGCTGAGGGTAGCATTTTTTTTTTTTTTTTTTGATAAAAACTCTTGATAGATTTCTGAAGCTTACCCATGCTTACAGTCTGGTAAGTTGATTATCTTACCTCTACATCGATCCTTAGTTATTTTTACGGATCAATTAGCAAACAGATCAAACATTACGCTACAGAGACAAAGTAGCATGGACGTACTTCTTTATCTATGTATTAACTAAAATATTATTAGAAAACTAACCACAAAACAATGACATTTTTTTGGTCCTTAAAAATAATATTATTGATCGTGTTTCATTTTGTCTATTTTCGTCTGTTTTTTTGGCTTTTTTTATTTAATGATTGTTGAAGCAGGGCAAGCAAGAAAACACAAATTTGAAAGATTCGGTTGATAAGCTTATATGTAAGTTTGAAGGTCTGCAAAATTATGATGACAGGGAGAAAGGGGAGCAATGTGACGGTTATATGATTACCTTCTATTTTTTGCATTAGTATATGATTGTGAAGTAGATCTGATATGATTTTGGGTGTTTGTTTGTGGTCCTTGAAATTGTTTTTAAAGGCTCATGGACAGTACACAAAAAAAAAAAAGGTAAGAATACCTATCCGTACAAAGCACGGGGTCATCTACTAGTTGTTATTGAAAAGTAATAAATAAAGTTAACTATCATATAACATTTTATTTGAACTATTTGAAAAAATAAAAATAGTGAAGTTAAAGTCCTTCAAGAATTAATGCATATCTTGATTCGTGTAAATGTGGGTATAATTGTAATTAGACCCTTAATTTTAGTGGATTAATAAAATTCTTTAGTGCCGATTCCCGCAAAAATATCGCATGACGTGTAACAAAACCTCAATCTCGCAACTGCCCACCTTAAAATTTCCATTTCAATTTAATGAATGAAGCCAAACGAATTAGGAAGAAGGGAGCAAAAATCTCGTTTCTTAGATTCTTAGATTATTATTTATTTAATTTTATTTTTGAAAAAAATACGACAGAAGAAAAAGATAGAATATCTTCCTTTTCCAACTTTTCAATCCAAATTTGAAAGAATTGGAGAGATAAGAATTAGATCACGATTACAACTCTTGCACTTTTACCAAATTGCCCACGAGCCAAAACCTCATATAAATATAATACGGACTCATCGTTGCTATCCATTACGCGTTCTCCAAGTTTCTTCCCTACACAAGTCTGCACACAGAGGTACGTTCTTGTTACTATGATTCTATGAATATGATCTTCGTTATATGCAACTTCATTCAAACTCTTTGATTTTCTTGATCTGCAACTTTATTCGAACTTTATGATTATAAAGTCATTAGAAAAAGAACCCTTTAGCATCACTGTTGCGGAAGCTAGGGTGGGGCGTTGAATACAATCATTAGTCTCACACTGTCTATTAATTTATCAAATGACAATGATAATAAGAATGATGGTTTATGTGTTGAAATATATGAATCCAGGAATTATACTTTTTGAACGAGGAAAAACAAATAAAAGTTTATTATAATAGTAATAGAACAAGAAAAATGAGCTATTTAGTCCTGACTAAATTTATATGAGTTGTGAACAATGACTTTATTAACATGTTTGTCCTGTTCTGTTTGATGTCAGGTTTTATAGGATTCAAACTAAAAGTTTTATCAAATGCTTCTTGATTTATATATTCTGCAAAAACCTAAACAACATAAATATATTTGAAGTTGATAACTTCAAATATTCTAACTAGCTAAAAAGATTCCAACATTTGTGATTGATGAATTTGTAAGGGCCAAATAGAAGGTGTAAGGCTAGATAAAAATAAAAACTTAACTAAATAAACTTAAAAAAAGATAGACTTTAATTAGTACCTTATTCTTGTATAATGCATGGTGAGCCTACATCATAGATTCTTATTGACATTGCATATTTCTGTTCGAAGCTATAGAGCAATGGAGAATGTGGGAGGTGGAGGACCAGCAATTGGTATTGACTTGGGCACCACATACTCATGTGTTGCTGTATGGAAACACAACAAAATAGAGATCATAACCAACGATCAAGGCAATCGAACAACACCATCTTGTGTTGCTTTCACTAATAATGAACAGCTCGTTGGTGATGGTGCCAAGAATCAAATTGCAAAGAACCATGCAAATACTGTATTCAGTCAGTTTAATTACAATTTCTATGTTTTAATATTTCATGCTTTTCGCATTTTTTTTATATTGCTTGGCTCATCTTGTTATGGAATTTCAGATGTGAAGAGGCTGATCGGCAGGAGGTTCAGTGAAGCCATGGTGCAGGATGACATAAAGTTGTTGCCATATAGGGTCATACAAGGGCCCAACGACATGCCAAAAATTATGGTTACTCACATGGAAAACGAGCAACAATTTTCTACCGAAGAAATTTCATCAATGATTCTTAAGAAGATGAAAGAAGTTGCAGAGGCTTATGTAGGTCAGACTGTTAAAAATGCTGTCATCACAGTCCCAGCTTATTTCAATGATTCTCAACGTCAAGCAACCAAGGATGCTGCTACTATTGCTGGCTTAAATGTCCTTCGCATGATCAATGAGCCAACAGCAGCTGCAATTGCTTATGGTATAGACAACATGTTGGGGCTTACTGGAAAGAGGAATGTGGTTGTATTTGATCTCGGTGGTGGCACTTTTGATGTCTCTATTCTCACCATTGATGAAGTTGGTAAGTTTGAGGTTAAGGCTGTTGCTGGTGACACTCATCTGGGAGGTGAAGATTTTGATAACCGTATGGTTGATTATTGTGTTGAGGAATTTAAGAAGAAATACGAAATGGATTTAACTGGAAAAAAGAGGGCCTTAGGAAGGTTGAAAGCTGAATGTGAGAAAGCAAAGAGGGTTCTTTCTTATGCTACGCAAGCTTCAGTTGAATTAGAATTGTTGCACAAGGGTATTGACTTTTCAATGGCTTTTAGTCGTGCGAAATTTGAGGAGCTTAATATGAGTTATTTTACAAAGTGTATTGAACAGCTGGAGAGTTGTTTAGCTGATGCAAATATGACTAAAGGAAATGTGGATGAGGTGATTCTTGTTGGTGGGTCTACTAGGATACCAAAGGTCCAACTAATGTTACAGGAGTTCTTTGATGGGAAGGAGTTATGCAAGAACATCAACCCAGATGAAGCTGTTGCTTATGGGGCGGCAGTTATGGCTGCAAACTTATCTGGTGATACTACCAAAATGATAAAGGAGGTGATGGTAACTGATGTCACTCCCTTGTCACTTGGCATTGAGACAAAAGGTGATATAATGACTGTTGTGTGAGTGTAAACCTACTTGGGTGTGAACCTGCCATGAGTAGCTGTATCACCCTCTTTTGTTGACAAATGAATGCCTCCTTTGTTGACAATAAGAACTCAAATGGCAACTTCGTATGTTCACATAATGAACACAATAAATGGTAGCAGTAGTAATTGTAGGCTTGTTTAAATATAAATAGAGGCTCTAACCTCAGTTGTAAGACACCACCAACAGAGAGTGTAGTGTGTAATACTTAGAGTGAGTATTAGAGGGTTGTTTCTTTTTCTTGTAATATTGAGCGTGTAAGCTCTTCTCTTTTGTTCTAGTTCTGAATAAAAGTGTGTTTCAACCCCAACATGTTGTCATCGGAAGGAACACTCCTGTACCTGTGAAGAAGACCCACAGTTTTGTTACATCTGAAGACAACCAATCTAGTGCAAGGATCTCAGTGTACCAAGGTGAACGGTCTAAATCTACTGACAACTACTTGTTGGGATCCTTTACAGTTTCCGGAATTCCACCTGCTCCAAAGGGAGTCTCACTAATATCACGGAAAAACTTACTGTTACCAATTATGGTGGAAGAATATCCAAGCAAGAGGTAGACAAAATGATGAAAGATGCCGAGAAGTTCAAGGTTGAGGATCAACGGTTCAAAAGGAAGGCAGAAGCATACAATGCATTGGATGATTGCATATACGACTTAAGGAAGAAGATCAAAAGTAATGATGTGCCCCCAAAGGACATGAAGAACATGCATTATGCACTTGCTGTAACGATGCAATGGCTCTCTCAGGGCAGAGTTGCAGAGGTTGAAGAGATTGAGCGCAGGAAGAAGTACCTGATCAATTTGGTATCTAGGTTTCCATTTCGAAAAACTTAACCGGGGTTTTTTAGCATTCCAACGGTCTAGATTAAAGTTAGCCGAGATTATTATTACATGGTGTTAGAAGTCGTTGACAAGATCCATATCAACATATGAATGGATTTTAAAGATTTACTTTTTGAAGGTAAATTAGTGTTTAGATATTATTGAAATTTTTTTGTGTCTTCAAAAGAAACAGATAAATTAAATATAAGGGAGATTTATGCAATTGGCCCTGAAAAATATAACTTTTCTTATTATTATTTCATACAAAAGCTAGTAAATTAAAGGAATTGGCCCCGAAAATATAACGTTTCTTCAAATTCATTTTTATTCCATACAAAAAATAGTAAGTCAAAAGAATGATGAATGTTATATAGTTTAAGAGTTGGATCAATTGTCGATGAACAAGGTCGAAGCACATGACCTGCTGATCAAAGATACATGGTCGGTTACCTTCTTTTCAAAACATATACAACCCGTTCTCAGAGTTTTTTTAAGGAAATAAAAGGAATGAAAGGGGAAGAAAAAAAATGTTTTGGAGTTTTTTTTAAGGAGGGAAGTGTAGGTTTTAACACAAAAAAACAATTTGTTTGAAAACAAAGCAATGGCTAGAACAAGAATGAAAAATCGGAAATATGAGAGAAGAGGAGAAGAGTAGAATTCTTAAAAGTTAAGCTTTTCTTATTATAAAAATTGAAAGACAACTAAAACTATTTATCGGACAAAATAAAATTTGCTTAGAAAACAAGAAAGTAGACACCTAATCTAATTCAAAGTAAATTTACCATAACTAGATTAAAACTTCCTAGACTCCTTCTAACTTTTGGATTACTCCAACATTCTCGCCTTAATCCGAAATCTTCACGTCTTTCACTCCAGGCAACTTTCACATTTCTTCAAGCTTCACTTGGTTCATAGGCTTGGGCAAGATGTCAACTTTTTTGCTTATTTATGGTTGTTATCCCATGGAACATTGCTATACCTACGAAGAAAACCACCATTGTTTTTGCAGTCAAAGACAATCAATCTCGTGTGAATATAAAGGTCTACCAAGGTGAACGCTCTAAAGCTACCGACAATTATTTGTTGAGATCATTTACAGTTTCTGGAATTCCACTTGCTCCTATGGGAGTCTCACTGATTGAGGTTTGCTTTGAAATAGATGATAACGATATCCTCATTGTTACAGCTAAGATAGTATCTACTGGCAAGACAGTAAAACTTACTGTTACCAATTATGGTGGAAGATTGTCCAAACAAGAGGTAGACAAAATGATGAAAGATGTCGAGAAGTTCAAGCTTAAGGACCAACAGTTCAAAAGGAAGGCAAAAGCATACATTGGCATGGATGATTGCATATATCATTTAAGGAAAAAGATCAAAAGTAATGATATGCCCCCAAAGGACTTGAAGAACATGCAATATGCACTTGCTGAAACAATGCAATGGCTCTTTAAGGGCAGAGTTGCAGAGCTTGAAGAGATTGAGCGCAGGAAGAAGTACCTTTCTTTCATATCTAGGTTTCCATTTCAAAAGTAACTTAAGGAGGTCTTTTTATTAACATGCCAACTTTCATTGTTTGCTAGTCTAGATACAAGTTAGGTGAGATTAACATTATATGGTGTTAAAAGTCATTGACAAGATTCATCTCACCATATGAATGGATTTTAAAGACACTTTTTGAAGGTAACTTCAATGTTAAGATTTAATTGAATATCTTTCGTGTCTTTTAAAAAAAATATAAAATATGAAGGGAGATTTATGGAATTGCTCCTGAAAATATAACGTTTTTTGAAATTCATTTTTATTCCACACAAAAGCTAGTATATTAAAGGAAGGATGAATTTTTTTTTTCATTAGTTGGATCAGTTGTCGATGAACAAGGTTGAAGCATACCCACTAATCGAAGATATGTAGAGATCCTAATTATGATGGCATATGGGGAATTGAAAAGATTTAGTGAATCATGCAAACATTAATAACACAATGAGTAAATAAAATCATTTAAGCTCTATTAGAATAGTAAGAGTAATAGTGGGTTTTGTTCTTTCTCTCACTAAACTAACACTCACAATTGGGTCTTACAAGTTCTTAAATAATGGGAGTCATGCACTTCCTATTTAAAGGAAAGACTCAACTCATTTACACATACAAAAGGGTAAGTCACATCCAAGGAGAACTTTGCATCCTAACATTCTCCCCCTCAAAGTTAGGATTGGATGTCCCGAATTCAGTTTCCAAACGAGCTCGCACGATCAAGACCAACTCTCCCTCGAAGTAATACTGGTCTTCAAATCCGCAAATAAATACCCGAGAAGCTTCGAATACCCATATCTACATTCTCCCCTTTTTTATAATCAACAAGTGATTATAAAACGCACAAAGGAAGAGAAGCGCTAGAGGAATAAATTTGACGAATCTCCCCCTCAATGTGTGCCAAAAATGAAACAGTGAAAATCTTGCACGAAAAACAATCACGAAATGCAAAGAAAAATTTCCAAATTTTGTGAAAATTTTCGACTTTGGGGTGAGAGTTGCATGAATTTCAAAAATTTGGGTAACAACTGTCAACTTTGTAATTCTGCAGGGACTCGTTGTGCCAAAACAGCTTCCAGTGCGAAGCTTTACCCCAAATGTGAAACTAGGCATAAAGTGTCAATTCGCAAAAGCTTTAGGGACCTAACATGAAAAATCTCCGTATATTCTCATAATTTTAGCCCAATGTCGAAACTGGGTAAATTCTGCCATTTCGCATAATTTGTAGGGATTCAAAGTGAAAGTTCTGCAAACTGCACAGATTTTGCCCCCATGTCGAAAGTGGGTGAAAATTGTCAATTCGTTGAAATTTCATCGAACGATACCACACATACATCTCGATCGACTAGATACCCACACATCGAAACTGAAAAACTTAATTCAAAATTGTTGTTTGTCTTCTTCCCTTTCTCCATTAGCAAAAGTCAAATCAAACACGAATCCAATTATCGAATTCCAGATCCTTTTTAATCAATTTTCAATTCAAAATTCATATCGAAACTCCACATTCATAGCATCGACATTTTATCACGACTATTACCTACCTATCTTCCAAAATTAACCCACGAAGATAACTCTTACAATTCATTCATAACAAAAATCCTCCAATTGCAATAAACTTCAATAGAGAAGGCGAATGACGAACATCACACTTCGATTATGATACCAATTTTGAGTTTGAAACTTGACGTTGACTTTGAACCAAAAACAAATACATCAACAATTTCAATTCAGAAATCAATCAACAATTATTGATGAAATGTTGAAGCAAATTTCTTGAATGAAGTCATGAATCAAACAAGAAAGCTTGAACTAAACTCAAATCTTGATGAATGATACATGAATTTGAAAACAGATGGCATAATTGAAATATGATTTCAGAAACAGTTTGGATATAATAAATTGATCACGAACAGCTGTAATCTTGTAATTTGATTAGGCTCATAAATAGATGAATTTCATGAATTGGGCTCAAAATACGATTGAATGAACAGTGAAGATCAATGATTGGGCTTGAATGTGGATTAACAAATAATGATCAGTAATGAATTTTGTTTTGGGCTTGATCTAAACAAAAATAATTGGATCAACAATGGGGTTGAGACAAAATAGATCCAATGAATCAAAACGATCAACAATCAAAAATGGAAAGCACAATAAAAAAATTGATTAAATTCGAGTTTTAAGAAAAACCTTGATTGTTCATCTTCGGTCTGAACATGAATTTTTCGGAATCCATTTGAGAACTTGAGACACCTTCTTGATGATTCTTTTTTCCGTCTGCAACACACGAATCAATCATTGAAGAACTTGGTTCTTTTGTTGGAACAAGAAAATCACCAATCTTCACATTATACCACCCACAATGTGTGTTGTACAAACCATTCTTCGTGTTCTTCAATGATCTAGCATCATTTTCATAAGAATCATCAACACTTTTGGGTTTTGAATTCAAATTCATTGCAACACTTGATGATTGTTCCTTTGGAACCCAAATTTGCTTCGTAGATTTCGGATTCATGACAACTCTTGAAGATTTTTGTGAAGAAACCCATTTGTTTTTGCTTTTGATCTTCTTCTTCTTTTTCTTCCTTTTCATCTTCTTGGATCTTGAGGATTTGAATTCAAGAACAATTCCATTCTTGACAACTTTAACTTTGCAAGTTTGAATCAAATCTTTTTGGAGTTTGATACATTTGAACTTCTTGGATTAAAGGATTTCGATAAGGCATCATTCCTTCAAACGAATCACAAACATTCATGCACTCATCAGTTTGAACTCCAATTAAACGAAGAACTTTCACATTTTCATCAAAATCACATTAAATTCCAATTTCTTGAATTCAACAAACTTAAGAACATGAAGATCATTTGGGTCTTCAATAAGAGAAACATAATCCTTTTTGAATATTTCTCTTTCTTTTCCTTCCTTTTGATTTTCACACCAAGATAACATATTCATGATGATTTCAATCGAACTTCCAATCTTCGAAAGTGGTTGAAATATTAATCTTCCATGATCATCTTTCAAGCCTCCATAGGAAATCAAATTTTCCCATGTAATTAACCCACCTTTTAACAATAATCCATAAAATTGTTTCTCATTGATTTTGTTTTTGACATCTCCAATCATCACAACCGAAGAATTATAAGCCAAATACATCATGATCACATGAACTTGGATTTTTCTAGAGAGAGAAAGTGAATATGAATGAAATCTCTAGAGAGAGAAAGTGAATATGAACCAAATTCTAGAGAAAGAAAGTGATACAAACAAGTATTCTAGAGAGAGAAACTCGAATTTTGGATCAAATCAAGGAATAAATTCGATTTCTAGAACACAAACTTTCTCAAAGTTTAAGAACTCACAACAATGAAGATTCACTCAAATCAAGTAGTCATCATGGATCAATTCTTGAGAGCTTCAAGAACACCCGCTCTGGTACCAATTGTAGCGATCCTAATTATGATGACATGTGCGGAATTGAAAAGATATATTGAATCATACAAACATCAAGAACACAAGGAGTAAAAAAATCATTTAAGCTCAATTATAAAATTAAGAGTACAAATGGGTTTTGTTCTTTCTCTCACTAAACTAACACTCACAAATGGGTCTTACAAGTTCTTACATAATGGAAGTCACTCACTTCCTATTTATAAGAAAGACTCATACACATACAAGAAGGTAAGCCACATCCAAGGAGAACTTTTCACCCTAACAAGATACATGGATACAACTCTCTCGGCCTGTATTTTCTTATGAGGTATTCGATATTCCTTCCTTCCAAAAGATATAAGGTTTCCTTGTCAAGCTTCTTTGGGCGTGGATCATTTACTTTGTAAGAAAAACAAACCACCAAAAAGTTGAAAGATACTTTTAATATAAATAAAATAATATATTGCACATGTTTTAATCCAATGTCAATAAATAATACTAATAACAAGAAAGGATGGCAATGCTACACATGGATTGAGAGTGTATTGTTAGGCGTTTCAAAGCTAACAAATAAAGGGGTAAAAATAACTCCTTAAACACTACTACTTTGTATTAAAAATATAATACAAGGTAAATAGGGTCGATCCTCAGAGACACGAGATAAATGTTTATACCGTTTTTGCGTAAGGTACTAAATGAGATCACGAAAGAGGGGGGGGGGGGTTTAGATACAATGATTCAAATAAAAGACTGAAGTAATAAATAGCAATTGACTACGTAAAGTAAACTCAAGATTTGTAAGTACTCCAACTCTATGCAAGACTAATTAGTAATGTGATCCAAAATATGAGATGATATTTGTTTAATTCCATCTAAGTTGGTATTAGAAATGCTAATAAGCTCTAGCACTTCACATTCACCATTTTTAATTAATTAAAATAAGCTCTTTAATTAATTCTAATCTAACTAACCTAATCAAAACAAGTTCTTAGAATGGGTGAAAGATTGCATAATGTTTTATGTGAATTTTACCAACAACATTCAATACTCCTCATAAGCTTGGGAGTGTTAGAATGTGTGAATTTGATTTGTACTAGAATCATTGCAAGTAGTATGATTTAATATTTGTTACTTGTTCTATTTTGCAAAACAATTACGGATTTTGTATAGCAGATAACATGAGTGATTTAACCCTAACTCAATTGGCCAAAAAGAACTAGAATTGAAATCAAACCTTCAATTAAAACAAAATCAAATTCACTAGATAGCATTTAAAACAAACACCAAGTCAAATGATTGAAATCACACACACAATTGTCAATACATGAAGTTGGAGAGTTAATTTTCTAGCCACTCATGACTAGAACAAGCATAAACCTAGAAATTGAAGTTAAAGTCTGACAAATTAAAATCCAAGTGAAATCCAAATGTTTTCAAGCATCAATTGTCTTCAAAATCCTCCCAAAATCGCTTCCTAGAACTTACAGAAACGACTCCCCTTCTTCTGGAACCGGTTGCCCCATTATAGAAAGGAGAAAAACTGATTTAAACTGACGACCTTGTT